CTTTTCTTGTTTGGAGTACGTAGCACTGAATCTGCAGGGGATTTTTTTAATACTTCTATGTTGCTTTTCCTATTCTATGTCAGTTGTGCCAACATAATTAGATGTTTATGTGTACATTTCTTTTCACTGATGCCCTTTCTACTTTCTTTTGCAGTACCAACAGGATGATCCGGTTACTCTTTGGGTAAATAAGGTTGGCCCTTACAATAATCCACAAGAAAGATATAACTACTACAGCCTCCCCTTTTGCCATCCATCAGGGAATCCTGCTCATAAATGGGGTGGTCTTGGTGAAGTCCTTGGTGGAAATGAACTTATTGATAGCCAGATCGATATAAAGTTCCGAAGTATTTCACTTGATTATATTCTTAAATATATTATATATTATGGTTCATTAATAACTGTGGTTTCATAAGTTTGCCCTTCCCTTTTCTTTCCCCAGAGAATGTGGAAAAAAGTGCCATTTGTCAGCTGGAACTAGACGATGCAAAGGTTAAGCAGTTCAAAGAGGCGATAGAGAACAGCTATTGGTTTGAATTCTTTGTAGGTATGTCTAGATTCCTCTGCGTCTTGTGTGCTGCAGAGTTTAAATTATTGTTGTTTTAGGTTGTCTATATGGCTAGCTTTCTCAAAGCGCTTACACTTTATCTTTCCTGATTTTTTGCTTATGTCATGTTTCATGGCCACTGCCATGGTGAAAGCTCAGATGATCTGCCTCTATGGGGTATGATTTAACATACTGTCTATGCAGTTTTTTTGGTCCACATTTATTTTGATATCTTGCTCCTAAATGATTAAACTTGCTAATGTTGCAGGCTTTGTTGGTGAGCTGCATCCTGATAAGAACAGTGATAATGGCAAGCATGTCCTTTACACACATAAGAATATTATTATTAAATACAATAAAGATCAGGTCTGTGATATCTGATATCCTCTATCACTTCAGTTCAGTTTGATGTTTAGGGGTTCCATTATTTGTATTTATACTATATTTCTACTTTTGCAGATTATTCATGTAAATATTACTCTGGATGGTCCAAAGCAACTGGAGGCAGGGAGAACATTGGGCCTGACATACTCTGTCAGATGGATTCCAACTAACGTCACCTTTGCACGCCGCTTTGATGTTTATTTGGACTACCCTTTCTTTGAGCACCAGGTAAATAGAAGTCATTTTATTTCTTCTCCATTATGTTTGTGCTGTTCATTTTTATTTATTTATTTATGTGTCTGCAGTCTCATCAGCTGTGGAAAAAAGTTTAGTGGTTAATCTTTGTTATGATCTTGCAATTTAGGCTGTTATATTTACTCTCAATTTCCCAAGAGTTGTAAACTCATGCTTGCAATGTGCAGATCCATTGGTTTTCCATTTTCAATTCATTCATGATGGTCATTTTCCTCACTGGCTTGGTGTCAATGATCTTGATGCGGACTCTCAGAAATGACTATGCAAAATATGCTCGGGAAGATGATGATCTAGAGACTTTGGTGTGATTCCTTGACTTTTATGTCTTATTCTTATTTTTAATTTCTTCATCTTTCTCATTCATTCATGATTCTACTTTTAATATCTTAAAATTGTGTTATTCTATTATGCCTCAGGAAAGGGATGTCAGTGATGAGTCTGGATGGAAACTTGTCCATGGGGATGTTTTTCGTCCTCCTTGCAATTTGGTCCTCCTTTCAGCTGTTGTGGGCACAGGTGCTCAATTAGCTTCACTTGTTCTCCTTGTCATTTTATTGGCAATTGTGGGAACATTATATGTTGGGTATGTGCAGAATTCACTAATGAAATACTTAATGTGATCTGTGAATGTAGATACTTTTATTGCTGTTTATTTTATTATTGTCTTTAGAAAATAGTGCTTTTTCTTTGCATAATTTCATTTATGAACACAGGGTGGTTTTCATTCAAGCTCTCTTTATCTACTCAATGATTTCTACTGCTGTAGTTCTCATTTATGTGCTTTTATTTTTTATAATGTTATGAAATGTATATTTTGACCATATTGTTTTACCCTTTTCTTGCTATTTTGAATTTTAATCATGAAAGGCATCATTAGTCACTCATTAACTCTTGTATGGCATTTCATAGTTTTAACGTCACATTCTGCTTACAATATTCTTCAATGGTTCAGGAGAGGAGCTATTGTGACAACTTTCATACTTTGCTATGCTTTTACATCATTCATTTCTGGTTATGTGAGTGGTGGGATGTACTCGCGTAATGGGGGTATGTGTTTTGCTTATTCTCTATTTGCACTTGCTTATTTTGCTAATTCAGATGTCCCCTTGTGCTCATTGCGTTTTGTTGATTTTTCCAGGTAAAAAATGGATAAAGTCAATGATCCTCACAGCATCTCTGTTCCCTTTTATGTGCTTTGGAATTGGGTTCATCTTGAACACAATTGCTATATTCTATGGATCTCTAGCAGCCATTCCTTTTGGCACAATGGTGGTTGTTTTTGTAATTTGGGCTTTCATTTCATTCCCTCTGGCCCTACTTGGTACAGTTGTTGGAAGAAACCGGAGTGGTGCTCCAAATAATCCATGTCGTGTGAAGACCATTCCTCGCCCAATTCCAGAGAAGAAATGGTATCTTACTCCCTCTGTGGTCTCACTGATGGGAGGACTTCTACCCTTTGGCAGCATATTCATTGAGATGTATTTTGTCTTTACATCATTTTGGAATTACAAGGTAAAATTCTTTTCTTGCTTGACAACAATTGTGGAGATTCTTCCCATATTAGTAAATTATGTGTTGAATTGCTTATAGCATGATATCTTTTCTGCCTAATGATTTAAATTGATTTTTGACTGAAATATGCTTCTTGTACTTTGCAGGTTTATTATGTCTATGGCTTTATGTTGTTGGTTTTCCTGATTCTCATCATTGTAACTGTTTGTGTGACAATTGTGGGGACATATTTCCTGCTAAATGCTGAGAACTATCACTGGCAATGGACTTCATTCTTCTCTGCTGCCTCAACAGCTATCTATGTTTACCTGTACTCCATATACTACTATTACGTGAAAACTAAGATGTCTGGCTTCTTCCAGACCAGCTTCTACTTTGGATACACTTTGATGTTTTGTGTTGGACTGGGAATTCTCTGTGGTAACCTTTACTTATATTTTGTACCATTTTTCATGCTTATGCGTAGATGCATCTAACTTCTAGTTCTACTGCTACATTGATTTACGAAAAAAATCTGGCCTCTACATTGAAACCCTTGTAACATCTCTTTTTATTCCGTTGCCTCTAGGTATTTCCTTAATCTTGTCAGCTAATCTAATCTAGTTCATATCTAATTTTTGGTTGGATTAGATCTTTGCTTTATATTCAATTAATCTAATCTAGTTCAAATCTAGGTACATAGCAATTTTCTCGAGTTTGGTAGAGATTTCTCGTCTATTTGTTTAAACCATTTTTCCTTGTGGCAAGTGGCAAGGTTACATCAACCATTAGCCATCATGGAAGGAAACTTGAGATGCAAATGATTCCTTCTGACTAGATATATCTTTTTCCTTGTTGTTTAACATGGTTTTGATCACTCTTTTTATATATGCAGGCGCTGTTGGTTATCTTGGCTCTAATTTGTTCGTGCGGAGGATCTACAGAAACATCAAGTGTGACTAGAACATCACCAAGGATAAATAGATCCTTTACGGTGCCTCCCCAAGCAGGTTAGTTATTGAGACAATAAATTTTGACAGGTAAGGGGACCCTGCAGTGCCAGCATATTAAATGACAATGTTCAACGGTAGGAATGTAGCCATCATTCTGTGGATTAGGGGAATCCAAGAAATTTTAGCATTTTTCCCCAGTTGTAAGTGAAAGCTTTGATTAGAATTCAGATGTTACAATTCAGAAGCTGGCAAAAATCAGAGTCCTATGATCTTGTAAATTTTTTTCCCTTAATCCCTAGTCTAATAGATATCCCCTATAGCTAATTTCCCCACGTTAGCTTTTTTATTCTTCTCTTAGAGGATTGGACAAAGGGGAAGGAATTAATGAATTCTATGATGTGTTGTTGAATTATGTGCATATGATGGTTCTGCCCATAAATTTGATCATGTTTTCTGATGGTCTTTTGAGATGCTTGCTTGAATCCTGGGGATATCCTGGAGTGGTTATGACAATGTGGAAGTATGATTCTGTCTACTGAGAATATTCCTTTATTTTTTTTCATTTGTTTGCTAGTGTATTAAAAAAATAATAATAAGTAGCAGGAATTTTATCCATAAAGATGAACTAATTTCAATTGGGAATATCACTGGTTATGACTTCTCTATTCCTGTTTTAGTTAAATGTATCACTGCCATAATTTATATGGTTTTTTCTTTTTTTTTTCTTTTTTTTTTTCTTTTTTTATGAACATAATTTATACGGTTATAATCTACAAATTTATCCCAGGCATGAAAGTCTTGTCGTTAGGCTTCAGGAAAAGTAATCTTGAGGTTCAAATGTTGTATTCAAATATCATAATCTGTGGTCTGGTTTTTGCCGAGGAAATGATGACTGGACCGTGGATGTCCACATCCTTTGGTAACAATTGCTTCCTAATTGTGGTTGTCGGCAACCCATGAACCTGACTGGTACCGCCTAACTTGAAAATGAATGACCTTTGTTAATTGCCTGAATTTTTACCCTAATGATCATGAACAGTGCTAAACATAATAGGTATCTCTTATTTTATTAGTTGAACAATAAAACAAAGGTTATTAAATAAAAAATTACTCTCAATAATAAGAGATTTATTTTTTATTTAATAATTATAATTGTGTAGTTTAATTATTTAATATAATTTAAATTATGTAAAACTTCTTTTTATAATATATTATAGAGCCAGGAAAAATCACCCAACAAAATGCCCAAAAAAAAGAACTCAGGCTTAGGGGGATCGTGCTCCCCACATTTCTCTTCATACTTGTTAATGTAAGGCGATAATAAAAAGATAACGAACGCCACAAGAATCTGCCACGTGGCACATATCCATTTCTTTCCTGGCCATACTACTTCCACAAGCCTCTCCATTATCAACAAAATCTCCTTTTCCCGCTCCCTTTGTTTAGCCTCCCATTTTCTGCCTCCTGTACTGAAAAAAAATGGCCTCCCTCGCCTCCCTTGCCTCAGTCAGCACCTCCGTCGTCTTCAGTCAGCCGGGCACCGGCATCCGCTCTCTCCCCAACGTGGGTCAGGCCCTGTTTGGCCTTAAACCCCTGAGAGGAGGACGTCTCGTCATGTCTGCTTACAAAGTCAAGCTCATTACTCCCGATGGCCCCCAGGAATTCGAGTGCCCGGATGATGTTTACATTCTCGACCACGCCGAGGAGCTCGGTATTGACCTGCCATACTCTTGCAGGGCGGGTTCTTGCTCTTCCTGCGCCGGAAAGGTCGTTTCGGGCCAAGTAGACCAGTCGGACGGCAGCTTCCTTGACGATGAGCAGATGGAAGGTGGTTGGGTTCTGACCTGTGTGGCTTTCCCTCAGAGTGATGTTGTCATTGAGACACACAAGGAGGAGGAACTCACTGCTTAAGCAAAGGACGACCATGTTCATCTTATGTTCGCAATTCTATATATGTTGTTTTGCTGGTTGGATTAGTCTGGTTAAGAAATGTTAATGTTGTAATTCTGAATTGAGTTATTTTTAAGGTTTTTGTTTCATTTGCTGTCACAAATGAAATTGTTGTACCAAATAATAAATCTTACGCTTTTCTGATCACCTCCATTCCTCTCAACATTTAGTTTATTTATACTTTAAAATTAATTAGTAGACCAGCTTGAATCGAGTAGCTCACAAGCTAATTGATACGAAACATTAACAACTCATTTTTAATATGAAAGTTTAATTTATTTGGACTCTAGATTCATTTATGTAAATAAGTTATATTGTTAGCAAATTAGTGGTACATCAAAATGTCAATGTGTTTACCTTTCATGAGCAAGTAGGATATGGAAAGCTTGTTTAGGTTCTTTGAAATAAGTCGGACAGGGTTTCAACCTTTCCTTCCCCTGCAACATTGTCTGCATTATCTTCTTCCTCAATTTCTGGAGGTTGTGATGCCGTTAAGGATTCAGATAGATACTCTGCCATTCGGAACGAAAATTGTCTTTCCTCAGGGTTGGAAGTTCCCAGAATGGACTCTGCTTGTTCTGTTGACGTTATGGTCACCTGGTTCAGTGACTCCATTGATGAGCTTCGGGATAAAGTCCCGGATGCAACTGTGATTTCTTCATCCCTCTCGTCTATGGTCGTTGTGTCAAGTGAACAGACCGATCTTGCCGCATGTGAGTGCTGGGATTCACGTTTTGACCTCTCCTTCACTCTCTTACACCAGCTGTGAAGTGAATCCCTCACCCTCTCAGCAACCAAGGCTTTCTTACACCGAGATCCCATCTAAAAAACATCAAGGGAAGATGAACATGAAGGGAAAATAAAGAAAGCTTAACCTGACAAGGCGAAAACAGATAGTTTTACTAGGCTTAGGCATACCTGTGTGACGATTATATTCAGGGGCACAGTGCTATAGCTGCACCAGAACTGAACAAGAACCCTGAATGTAGTACCAATACATGTTCAGATAGTGATTACATTATATTTTGCAGTGATAATAAAAGTTACAACAAAAGAAGTTAGGATGGGGAAAAATATACCCAGAAGCTAATCTAATGATTATCATAAGATCGTTTCCAATGAAGCATGATCTATGCTTTAGTCCCCACTAAACAAAGGGAGAAAAGGGAAAATTAGTAAAGCAGCAATTTCATTGAAAAGAAAGAAGAATGAAGAGATAAGAGAGTTTAATCTTTACCAATGACCAAATAAATGTTGACATCTCGAATGCATTCTGCACATACAAGAAAAAAGGTGAGGAGGGAATAAAATGCAGATATTAATATCTAATGTAATAATACTAGAATGTATGTCATAGGTCGTCCTTACCTGAAAAATAATAAACTGAATCAACCTCAGCAATATCTCCGGTTTTCCAAACCAAAAGAGATCATCGCGTGGTTTCAGTTGAGCCCCAACAGATGGATCTGTTTGTTCTACAATTTCAAGTGCTAACGTGGAAACTACATGTTGAAGCTTGGTGCCAACCAACATGACAAGCTTTGACAGGCCGATCAAACAGATAATGGTGTTAAAAGAGGAGAATCTGTGTTTCTTCTTGAGAAACTGATAAGAAAGGGAAGTATACTTACAATGGCAGGAATAAAAGATAACCAAAAGTAAACGTTCAGACCTGTGACACATTTGAGTAGTTAGCGGCAGAGGTTGGCTTCAATCATATACTTCTTGTAGGCATAAGTTTATTCAATACTGTATGAAGAAACAAAAAGTTACCATGAATGTTTATGAAGATGCATAGAATAGCATATCCCCAAAGTAGCCAGCTGCAAAATATCAAGAGTAAATGATAATTTGTTCCTTACAAGTCTAGAAGTAATCTATATACACAACAGAGACCAATTTGGATTGAAACCGATTTGAATGAGAGCATACCTAATACCAAGAATTCCATGAAATTCATCTTCCATGCTTCGAACCATATATTTATGGAAATTATAAGAAAGAGGCAGGTTGTGCTTCTGGAAAGTTGATGGGAAAACATAGTACATCATAAATTTTTGGCAGAGAAAGTACATGCAGGATTCTAAAGAGACTAGAAGAAAACGTGTTAACTGGAGCTGGAAGGATGAAAAGAAGAGCTAGAAAGAAAACAGCATATCACAAAGAAGGCACCAGTATAAAATTAGATACCCACCGTGATGAAACCTAGACGTAGTGCCAAGTAATCTGACTTCTTTATGGAGCTCTTAAACTGTCGTAGAAAGCAAAACTGTTTGTCCACAACATGGAGAAAGTCACAACCAGGGGCTAAAAAAAAACCTCTAAAAGAAGGCGCATTGAAATGGGAACAAATATGGACTGACCATTAGGAGGACAAAAATAAAGTTTACTTAATGCTCACTTGAAATAAGATATCTTTCCTCACAAAAATCACAGAAATGAACCAAAGTAGAGAAGATAGAGTGGGTATATTAAGATTCTTAAAAGCAGTAAGATTCTGATCCATATTCCATATCCAGGGTCCAAGAGTTAAATACTAACATAAAATATTAACTCAGTTACCAAAAGTGTCTCAGTCTCGGCATATACGACTTGACCAAGAAAAAGTAATCAGTGTAAAGAGAAATACAAAAATGAGAAAAAGAAAAAAAAAATCACCATCCAAATGAGAACCCGACTCCTGCTCCATGGATGAGATGCGTGATGGAAAACAAAAGTGGATTGTCTGCTCATGACTCTGTTTCTCTTCGCTATGCAAAAGCAAAATAAGATAAAATGAACATTAGAAAAGCTAAAATCATAGGAAATAGAATAAAGGGTAAGACTGGCATCCCAACAGAATGTGGTGCTCTTTTTTTCTTCTATGCTTAGCTTATGGTAGTCTTCAAAACCTCCAAAGTCTTAACTTGTTTTAGTTTCTTACTTATGTTTAACACATACCATCTCCTCTCAACACTGAGAGTTATCTGTCCTTAGTAATCATTGTCGTGAAGAAACTTTGATAATACTTTAATGTGAAACCCATTATTAGAATTATCAAGAAATAAGACTCACAATCCAAAAATCTAGAGTGACAACAGAAACTTTGATTAGTTTAGTCTTTAGTGGGATTGGCTAACATTAAATAGAACATTGATGCATCATTACTCGACAGGTCTCAAGATCTTATGGAACCCAGGAAAAGCTTGGAGTTAGATGACCATATTGTTTATCATTTCCGACATACCTTGCAAGTTTCCATCAGGCATGTTACTGGCTACAATTTCCCAATTTCTCCAACTGTAAATCTACACAAACACACAATAAGAAACTATTAACTACGGTACATATAAATGACCGGTTCATTTAGAAGAACACTTCAAAAGCAAACATGCCATGCACCCAGAGCAATTTAAGCAAATGCACCCCAAGTACTTAACTACTCAAGCTATAGCTTCTTCAAGGGAACTTCTGGTTTCATCATGATACATACGATAAGACAATGTCATTTATTTATGAAACAACAAAGTATAATTTGATTTCATGAAAGTAGAAATTTACAATTAATCGACCAAGTTCACTTCCAGGCTTCTGTCAAAGAAACTGAAATTGTAAAACCTAGAAAAGAAATCAAGAAGATGTAGAATAAAATGCACCTTGCTCATCGCCAGGGCAACTGATAGGCAACTGTACAGAACATGAGTGATACCAAGAACAAATAAAAACCTGTGGAGTTGCTCAAGGCCCTCTAAGGATACAAATGGCTCATGACCCTGCATTCAATGACATCAGTGAGACAGCTGATTCAGGGACAGTACACTAAAAGTTGAAGCCACAGGATATAATTTTACCAGACCACATTGATGAGATGTTTTACTACTTATTCCTTTGGGAGGAATATCAGTATCATTTAGGAAAGCGGGGGAACTTTCAAGCAACAAATGCTTACTAATGCCATACTCATCCACAGAGCAAATATAGAATCTACTGCTGAAAAGAGATGATTTTACACAAATCTCAGATATCCACCGTCCCCATTGTGCCAACATCAAAGATATAAGACCAAGCAGCATCAGCTCTACCATGAAGAAAGGGAAAACAAATCACTCAAATGAGAAACAATAGGCCGATATCTTAAACTCACTCCATACTAAATAAACATCATGTAAAAGAGAGAGTTTGCATCAAAACCCATGAATTTGTATGAAAAAAAAAAAATTATTTTGCACCTCTCAATAAACAGTCTTACAATCTTACATTTATGAATTTCTCACTCACCTTCCTTAATCTTCTCCAAAGAAGCAAACAAAGCCTTCCTTCTTGTCTTCTTCAACCACTGTACAGAAGAAAAAGAAAATGACATGTTATTTGTAATTTTTCTTTTGCCCTTGTTGTCCTTTTGCCTCACATACATAAAAGAGATAATTTCTTCACCAAACCTTAGAGAAACCAAATTAAGTAGTAATGCCACTCCAAACCATCAGTACCCCATATCAAGCAGCAAACTTTCTTTCATTTTTCAGAGATTCTACCTCAAAGAACACTAGAATACCCCAAAACAACAAACGGAGTCTCTTTCATGCCTTCCTCCAATTTTTCAGGAGCCAAACTAACATACAAAAAAATTGTTCTCCTCAACCTTTTGAATCTCTCCCAAACAAAGCAGATCAAGTAAAAAAGTCATTTTTTTCCTGCGGGTCCAGACTTGATGAAAAAGAAACTACATATACCACACATACACAGAAAAGAAAGGAAAAAGCTTTTTGGTGTCTCTACCTTTTCTCAGCTTCCAAACAGAAATTTATTGAAGATCATTGTTCTCTTACCTTTCCAAATCTATAGATGGACCGTTCCACCAAAAAGCAAACAAAAACCAAGACTGTAATCACTGAAGCAACAGTATATGTTGGGGTCTCAGCCAGAGACCTCCCTTGCCCTGTGACCTCTGCCATTTCTCAAATCAACAACAACCCATTAACTCTCACTCTAAGGTCCTTGTAATGCCAATCTCCTTCAGTTTTCCCAAGAGAATGGAGATTGCAGACCCAGATGGAGGAAAGAGAAGGGACCAGGAAAAAGGGAGGTGGGGATACTAGGACTTGACCGAGCAAGACATATGTTGTGAAGTAATTTAGTTGAAAGAACGTGGGAATGTTGATTAGTTTATTGAGTGATGTTTGGTCTTTGTTTCTGATTTGGTAAGCAAACCCACATTCAATTTGCATTCAAATCGATGATGAATCCATTTTCTCCCTTAGTCGTCTCCCTAAGTCCTTTCTTTTGCTTCACTAGATACGACCTGTCCACATGGGGTTGCTGGCTGCCAATGCAATGCCAGACCTTGGAAATCCTAACGGCCCTTTATGTTTTTTTCGTTCTTTTTCAATTAAAAAATAGCTCAAATCATAAAATAGTTCACAAGGAACAGCCACAACTTTACATTTTTCTCTCTCTGTGATCTGATTCATCTTTAAAAAAGTTTTGAAAACCAAACCTTTTTTACATGAAAAACTAGCCAGTAAAAAGGGTGTTGCATTTGGAGTTTTGTTTATTAAAAGCTATCCGAAGGTATTAACTTCAATTGAATGAATTGTGTATTGGAAATTAAGATCAGCAATAATTATTAATTATCAAAAAAAAGAAAGAAAAATTAAGACCTTATATATGAAAAATGTTATGGCATTTAATAATGATTATATGATAAATTTAATAAAATTATAACTCCTATTATGCAATACATATTTAACAACTGCAATTGGATATATTGATATTTTTAATACTAAAATATATTAATTTTTCTTTTAATATTATGACCCCTCCTATGTTATACATATTTAATAAATGTAATTAAACATCTTGATATTTTTAATATTAAGGTATCTTGATTTTTCTCTTAATATCATGTACTAAAAAAAATTTATTGAATATCATTGATTAGCCAACTAATCTAAACACTTCCTAAGATTTGAAAGAGTATTATTGAAGACTTTATTTTTTTTTTTTTAAAGAAGAAAACCTTAAAATAAGATTATTTGATTTAGCTAATTATATCGGTTTTTATATATATATATATATACATATTTTTTTTTTTCCTCAAACCCTATACCACGTCTACGTTGGAGGTGATTTCGGTTGTAAATCATAGCCATAAAAAATTTATTAAAGCCATGTCTAATTTTTGAATCATTTAACTGAGAATTCAATGTGCTTAATGCTTTACACTGTCTCACCTAACCTTATGATGAAAACTTTTACTTTTAGAAACATTTCGTTGAGAATTTAGCATGCTTAATGCCTTTTGTTGTCTCAACTAACAAAGGGTTTATTAATTATTTCAACATTTAATCTAGCATTTATTAGTGGTTTTTTTAACCTATACCATTAAACACAAGTTAAAAGGATATAGTTATTGTAGTTTCTAACAATAATTGATATTGAAAAATATAAAAATTAATATCAATTTCACCACTAATACCATATAAATCATTTTAATTAAATACTTAATTAAATAAATATTAATTTTTATTTTCAATACCAATTAAAATTAAAAAATATAATAATTATATTCCTAATCCATATCCTTAAGATATATATTAAAAACCTTCAATTAATATCCCAATATATGCATGTCCTTGGTGACAAAAATAGAATTAACTAGGTACTTCTAAAGATCACCCTTAAAATCGTTGAAAAGCATTAGTCTAAATGTAGTTTGAGATACCATGATCGTACAAACCAAACAACCTCTAAAATTACACTCATAGAGGAATTATTTTAGTCAAAGAGCTAAAATTTTCTTCAAATAAACTTTGCTTGAATTGAGAAATGGGATACACCCATTGCACTAAAAAAATGAGAAATGGGATACACCTTAGCCCTATTCGATGGGGTGGGCCCTTGGAGGCTTGTTTCATATCCATGACGTGGGTTTGGACTGGAAATCTGCTGCGAACTCTACGGAGAAAACGGATGTTATAGAGCCCAAGTATTAAGAAGCCCACTGTTAGAGTTAGTCGATACTTGATCCAATAATAAGGCCCATAATGGCCCACATTTGAATTCTGATACACCCAGGGTATCCGTTTTCACAGAAAGTTTCTAAACCCACCCAAAACCCTAGCCTTGGCTCTCCACCCTCTCCGTCTCCGGCGAGCTCTCACCACCACACCATCTCCGCATCCTACTCTACCATATGCAGAAACTCCATTCCTCTCCTCCAAATACAGATTTCTGATTCTATCTCATCACTGCCGGCATCACCGACTCGTTTCCAATGAGTATGATTCTGTCTGAGCAAACATTAACCAAAGATCCCTTGAAGGTTCAAGAGACACAGAAATCGCAATGGGTGCATACCAACCAAATTACACATGGGCAGGAAGGAAATCTCACCCAAAAGGCCAGGTTGGGTTATAAAATAACACAATGTCTGTAGTAGTACTTTGTTGCATAAAAACTCCTGTCTATATATGTTTACAAATAGAATCCATGTTGGTGGATGCAGGTTTATGGTTATCGAATGTCTCTTTGGGCCTTGCATCGTTTGGTTGCCTGGAGGATGCTTTCTATTCACCGGGGAGCGTCGAATGCGTGCAGCTTGTCAATAAGATGGTGAAACTTAACTGGAAGGCTTTTGTGGGTGAGGATTTCAGAGAAATGAATGGACATTTGATGCGTTATCCTGTTAAAGTCAGCAAGAATGGGAAAGTCAGTGCCTTGCCAATGTACGAAACCTTTCCTGATGTTGGTGGCAAAATCCTTGGGGTTCCCACAACTCTTCCTGATGCTCTCACCACTTGAACTGTTCATAAATGCAAATATGTAAGAGGAAGATGAATTTTACAGGAACGAGCCAACTTTTGGAGCTTCCCTTTCATTGCATGTTCCCTTAAAATTTTAAGGAAACTTGAACCAAATTAATGCATTATTAGTAACACTACTTGCGTGAAAATGTAAAGTACTAATCAATATTCTTTTATACTTGGCCGTTTGAATATTTTACACACAAATTTTGTTCCAAATTCCAATCATAAGCTATATACAACATTCATAAGATAAATGATAATCATTCATCTTCATATATTAAGATTGCATTAGTAAATGGCGAGAAATTATTGTTTATAGTTTAAATATTTTTATTTGTCCAATTAGTCCGAAACCTTGATCGTTAATATTAAATATCTTTATCATACATACATATATATGTATTTTCAAATTATCAATAATATTCTTGATACACGATAATAAAAACTAAAGTACTTAAATAATGATATTTATATTGTAAATACTTATATATTATCTCATATTTTACATATAAAAAAAATTAAATACATACTCCTTTGTTAGAAAGGAATGTCAAATTTTCAGCGATTAAAATATTTAATTAATTTGTAGTCACTTTTGGTTGACAATGTTTTTTAGATAAATGAAGGTTATTGGCCGAGTGAGAGCGTCAAGGACCGCATAGCGCAGTGGATTAGCGCGTCTGACTTCGGATCAGAAGGTCGTGGGTTCGACTCCCACTGTGGTCGATTTTTGGCCTTATATTTTCTAGACCGGAACACCACCGGTTAATATATTACACCCGGTTCATAGAAACCGGTTCATTTTCTTTCATTTTCTTTTATCCTAGGGTTTTGGCGCAGAAAATTTTGTTCTCAGTAAGTTCTTCCCACTCGATTTCTTCTTCTTGATTTCTCTCCCTGTTTTCTGTTTGGTTCTGGAGAAATTGCGAGCGAAGCAAAAGAAATAGACGATTTAGAAGAGAGGAAAACTAAGAAGAAGGCCTAAATTGTCAGTTTCTAGATTTTTCCC